CAGCAGTTGAGTGACCAGAGCAGGACTGGGGTAGGGTCAAAGCCCTGTCCAGCCACTCGGCTTTTCAGTGGGGCATGGGGATCACATGACAGCATGTAAAGCTGATTTGCAGGAAGTGCCATGCATGGGCAGCCTGACCTCCGGAGTGGAGCTACCAGGACAGATTGTCACCTTGGCCTGCTGAAGTCGAGGCTCCGGGCACCTCACCAGGCCTCCATCTCCACACACCCTGCATTTCCTTCTTTGTGTAGCAGCCCCCCAGCTGGTTCCTGCTCCTCAGACAAGACCCTGCTGGAGGCAGCCCCTGTGGCCTCGCCTGTCACCCCCGTGGCCACGAGAGAGAAGATCCGGTCCAGGTTCCACGGCAGCCATGACCTGATCCACCGCCTGTTTGTCTGCATTTCAGGTGTGGAGTCTGGGCCTGGGGTGGGTCGAGGGCCCGCAGCCTGCCCTCTAGGGGAGTGGAGACCGGGCAGCCATCTCTCCCTGGCTTTGCTGTGTGGCAGTGTGGTCTGCTTCTCTGCCAGCCAGCGCTCCTTAGGAAGGGCTGATCTGCTCCTGGGAGAAGGAGGCCGAAGGAGCTCTGGGGGTGATGGGTGGGGTGGGGCAGAACAGAGGGCCATGGGCACCTCCTCTGGGTGGGTCCACCCTGGGCTCCCCAGCCACGTGGAGCCTGTACTATAGCCCCGCAGTCAGGGCTATTTTGGACAGTGTGGTCAGGGATCTGGGGGCTGGGCCCACCTGGGAGAGGGCAGGCTATAAGTGGAGCCATCTGGATGCCCAAGTTGCTGTGACAGTGACAGGGGCTGAAGTGAGGCTAGGCATGATCGAGGCCCTGGTGAGCAGCCAGAACAGTTTAGTGGTAGTGGCCGTAACCTTGGATAAGGCTGGTAACAGACTGGCCTGCAGTGGGCTGTGCAGAAAGTCCCATCATACACACATCAAGAGCATCCTTTCCCAAGGGGCTGGGAAATGCTGGTCCCTCAGCTCAGGCCAGGACCTGCCCAGTTCACAGATCAGTCAGCCTAATTCATCCTTCCTTCCATCCCTCTGTCACACTGGTCAGGTGTGGCAGATCAGCTGCAGACCAACTATGCAAGCGACCTGAGAAGTATTCTCAAAACTCTGTTTGAGGTCATGGCCACCAAGCCAGAAACAGATGACAAGGAAAAGCTAAAGAAGGGTGAGTGTCACCCAGGCAGGTGCTGACTCCATGCCAACCCCTGTGTCCAGTGCCCCCAGGAAGAGGGTTTGCAGAAAACCACACCTCCTCTTCCTGGGCAAATATGTGCCCTCCAAGGCAACCATGCATCCTGATATTTGCATGACCACATACGCCAGGCTTTCTGCCGGGGACCCAGGATGCATAGCCCAGGGAAGTGGTTCCCCTGCCACTTTGCAAGTGGGTCACCTGGCTTTGGTCCCCTTGTACACACTGCAGCAAGGTCGCCCAACTTTGTATTGCAGATAGGGGCTGGGGATACTCATCCTTTCCCCTAAAGACCAGACCAGATGACTAAGTGTTCCACAGTGTCACTTGTCAACGCATTCAGAAGACAGCCAGATACAGGGGGAGGGGGCATGAGACCCCCTCCCCTTGGGGAACTGCAGAGTCTGCTGCTGGCTGTGATCTGACTCACATTTGCATACTCAGTATGTCACAAGCAACACGTGTGCTCTCACAGTCACATTTAGTTAACACACTGCACACGTATGTGCACATAACAGGTGTGTGGTGAGGGAAAAGGCATCATGTCAGGGACTGATTAGCATGGGGAGTTTGACCCTCTGTCCCTGAAGAGTCCTGAGTAGGAGTGGAGCTGGAGCCCTGCTGGCTTGCCCCTTGTACTGGGCTGAGACACCTGTTCTGGGGGAACTACCCTCACTATAGGGCTTCTGCTTGTGGGGTGTCTGGCAACAGGACTGCCCAGCTATTTCTGCAGCTCCCACCCAGCAGAGATGTCCTTGCTATTGAGGAGGAGCCTGTGCCCACCCAGCTCTGCTCCCAAAACTACACCCCCAGGCCATATTCCATCAGGGAACTTGGCAGGGCTGCCTTCTGGAAATCAAGATTCAGAGGAGGCAGAGACAAACACTGCTCAGATAGGGACTGGGCTGCAGGACCCTGCTTGCCTCCATGATCACAGTTCAGGGGACCTGACCATCTGTGCAGGGGCCCCAGGGCTGGATGCTCACAGGGAGCAGCTGACACGGGCCTCAGGGCACACCACGCTGTGCCATGCTGTGCAATAGGAAGCCCTCAACTAACTGGAAGACCTGCCAGGCCAGGCACCCTACCTGCTGAGGTGACTGGCCCTGTGTGCTGGGTTTGGGGTAGCTGGCCAGGGGTACCCAGCAGGGATAATCAATTGCATTGACTACACTACCCACCAAATCTCAGCAGCCTCAATTCTCTTCCAGTCACCCAGACCCTGCGGAATGCGGCCTTAGAGGACTGTGCGTTGTGTCAGGAGACCCTGTCATCCTCAGAACTTGCAGCCAAGACCCGTGACGGGGACTTTGAAGGTGTGTGGGAACCTCTAGGCCAGGGGCCAACACGCTCATGCTGAGCAGCAGGTGCCTGCGCAGGATGCTTTCAGATGCAGAGCCCTGAAGGTGGTTCCCCTCCAGACAGACACCAGGCTTCCCGGTGTGCAGCTTCCCACAGGAGGCAGCCACTCTGCATGCTGTCCTCGGCTCCCAGGTGGGCACACAAGCCCCCTCATTGCTATGTGACCTCAGGCCAGGTGTTTAATGTCTCTCAGCCTGGTGGGCACAGGTTCCAGGGTGTGGGAAGCAAGGAGATATCAGGTCAAGACTTAGCTCTGGCCACAGGTGGCTGGCCAACATCTGACACCCCAGCTCCTCACCTGTACCTCAGGAGGTATCTGGCATGGCAGCTGGGGAAACTACAGGACACTATGGGGACTGTGGGGGCCCAGAAGCCTTCCCCAGTGGGGACAGCTGTAGACTGATCTGGTCACATCTGATCTGGGAGACCTGCTCCCTGCAGTCTCTCCATGGAGTTGGCTGCAGGCAAATGGCATGGTGTCATAGAAGGAAGAGCCAGGCATTCAGGGGACTGCCACACATTGTGGGAGGGGCACAAGACTTTGAGAAGGGCTTTTGGCAGGATGTGTTACAGTCCCTCGGGTGCTGGGGGCTTCTATGGTGCTGAGATGGATGAGGGCAGATAGACCTGACCGGGGTTGCCAGAGGGGGCAGGGAGAGTTTGGGAGTGAGTGGGCCTTGGCCAAGGCACGGTCCTGCAGGTGGACCCCCTGTATATCCCAAGTGCAGGGGCCTATATCTGGGGGTGATTTCCAGCTCTGACAATGGCAGTGAAGAGGGACCCCCATGTGAAATCATAGCCTGTCACTGAGTCTAGGGGTAACCAGTGAGGAGAGGGGCTGGAGGTGCCTGCCCACTTGCCAGGCTTCCACTCCAGCCCCAGCCCACCTGCATGCCAGGGCTGACGTGTCCCTGGCTCTCGTTGTAACAGACCCCCCTGAATGGGTGCCGGACGAGGCCTGCGGCTTCTGCACCGCGTGCAAAGCGCCCTTCACTGTCATCCGCAGGAAACACCACTGCCGCAGCTGCGGGAAGGTGGGTGGCCACGCTGGCCTGCAGCATCTGAGCCATCACAGGCACAGTGTCAGGGGCTGCAAGTCAGGACTGGTGTTCCTGGGCTCTGGGGTCCTTGTGCAGATGCCCCTGAGTCCTGAGCCCTGCTCTGACTCCAGGCAGTGGTCCATACCAGTGCCCATGTCCAGCCTTGGCCACTCAGAGCCAGGGACAGGGAGGGGACAGAGTAAACAAGCAGGAACATGCTGTGGCCTTGGTGTAGCACCTAGACACCTCTCAGGAAGTGGGCCTCCTAGGCAAAGCCCTGCCCAGGGTTTTTCTGAAGGTCCTAGCTCCACGGGCCACAGGACCAGGACCAGGACCAGGCAGACTCCCCCTCCATTGCCCTGCCTGGTCTGGGTGGGAGGGCTGTGTGGGAGCATGAGGGCTGGCCCTGCCCAGCACCCTGTAGCAGGTTCACTGGTTCCTACCCCTCCTTGATTTCCAGATCTTTTGTTCCCGCTGCTCTTCGCACTCGGCACCGCTGCCCCGCTATGGGCAGGTGAAGCCTGTCCGTGTGTGCACACACTGCTACATGTTCCATGTCACACCCTTCTACAGCGACAAAGCAGGCATGTGATGCAGCATCCAGGCACTCACCAACACACCCAGGGCCAGGACTCCCAGGAAGGAGGTGCTGCGCCTGGCCCTGGTCTGTCCAGGCTGTGCTGCAGGAGGTCTCCCGCATCTCATTAAGACACTGCTGCTACTGCAGACCCACCCAGGTTTCCAGAATGTCCAGAGCCTCTGTCCCACCCACCCTGGCCTCCTTACCTGCAGGGACCCCAGGCCAGGTGCAGAACGTGATAGGAGGTCAGCTTTACCCACCAAGGGGATCCAGGGACTTAGGGGCTGCCTCTGAGGCAGGTGCCTGCTGGGATCTCCACTGGAGCACCTCCTCCAGCTGGACCTACTAGGCAGGAGAGTGGGCACTGTGAGGCCTTGTCTGCAGCAGAGACTCTGGAAGCAGGAACTAAGGGGCTCCACGGGCCCCAGCACCGTGTCAGGGCTCCTTGCACCCACCTCATCCCCAGCACCCACTGCCCGCCTCAGGACCCTGCTAAACAACACGCATCTCATTTCTTCTTGGAGGGGGAATGCAGGAGGAATACGTGCCCTGAACCTGCATATTGTCCACTGCCAGTGGAGTGGGGGCTGGCCAGGCACTGACACTCACAGACAGAGGTTGGTTTGGGTTGGGGGCCTTGGCTCACCAGGCAGCCCAAGACCACCAAGGGCTGCCCACTTGGCCAACAGTGCCCCCTTTCCTCTGCATCCTCTGGGACCCTGGTCTACTTCCACAGATTCCAGAGCAGCTGGGACCCATGCTGAGATAGCCAAGTGGCCCCAGTACAGACACTCCTCAGGCTTCAATCTCAGGCTTCACATTGCAATGACGATTGCAGTTTTATTTTTGGAGAGATGACACACCTACTGCTTCTTTTATAGGATGAAGTCCAATTACTGTTGAGCAGTGGAATACTCTTGCACAGAGATGGCTTCTGTAGGGGAGAATATATATTGGAGGGAATATTATGTATTGAGATTATTTTTATTTTCTAACAGCTGTAACTCAAAACCATTTCCATAAATCTATTTAAAGATTGCAGACGCTGTCCTGTCTTCTGTGAGCATCAACTCCTTTTCCTCTGTCTGGGCAGGGGTGGTATTTGTGCTGTCATGGATTCTCCTATAGGAAGCCAGGGCTTCTGCACTTTGGGACGATTGAAGGACTTGGCGTCCCATCAGCCTCCAGGAAAGGGGTGGCTGCTCACTCTCTGGAAGCCTGTCCCCTGCCCTGTGAGAGTGCCCTTCTCCACTGCTGCCCATCCTGCAGCTCCCCTTCTTATGTGAATCTTTGGCTGAGACCCCTGGCCTGTGCTTGGGGGCAGGGCTAGTACTCTTGGCCCCTATACTGGGGGCTGACCTTGTGGCCTTGGTCTCCAGCCTCACTACCTCATAGTCTGGGGACTGCTTTTGGGGTGCCATGAAGAGACTGTAGGAGTGCCAGCACAGCCTTGGATTACTCCAGTGATGGGGCTTCCTCTGTCCTTTGTGCCCTTGAAACTTGAGCAGAGTTGTGAGAGGCCACAATAGCCACCATATCCACTCTCCGTAAGTCAGGACGTTTTAGAACATGGGGCTCCCTCTGAGCAGGGCAAGCCCTTCAGGAGCAGAAGGGGCAGCTTGGGGGACCTCAGCATCTCTGGCCATCCAAGACCTGAACCCACCCTCCTGCTTACCTGGGCAGAATGCAGAGAAATGGCCCCTCTACCACCCCTACACTCTGATGGTTAGCATGTCCACAGGAGAATTGTCACCTCTCTGGAGGAGGCCACCCCTGCTGCCACAGGCTAGGAAACCAGGCCCTGCAGAATCCCACAGAGACGTACTGCAGCATCCCTCTGTGCTTACAGGCACCCTCAGTGGTCACCTTCCAGACCTGAGGTGTGGTGTCCTCCTTGTCCACCAGGTGAGAAGAACCTACAGGGAGGTAGGCAGGAAGGCTGGGTGTGGTCTGTTCATAGGAAGCCCTCCAGGCCAGCCTTGGCCTGCCTTTGTGCTGCCCGGAGACAGATTGCCCTGCAGAAAGGCCTAGAGTCACAGGTGTCCTTCAGGGAGATGACCAACAGTCCCATTTGCCCAGGAGCAGAGTTTCCAGGACTTTTCCATGCTAAACTTGAGATGCTTGATCACTACCTTTCTATGGGGCTGTCCCCACCCAAGGGAAGAACCCAGGACCAAGACAGGTGCAATTCAGACAGAATGTAGAAGGGATGGCTTCCTGGCCACCCACAGCTGGGCCTTGGGGCTGGGAGGCCCTGGGGCTAGGAGCATACCCAGAGCTCTGGGTTTATAGTCAGCACTTTTGAGCCAGCCTTGGGACCTCCTGCAGGCCGGCCTTCCCAAACCCATTTCCTAATCAACACCATCATCATGTCCTTCCTGCTACTGCCCTGAACAATGCCATTCCCCACTTTATACATGCCTGTGGCAATCCCATAAGATTCCCTTGAGGGAGCAAGATCTCCATGCCATAGACAGGAAGCTGAAGATTGCAGGTCAGTGAGCAGCAGAGCTGGGTTGTAGGTTTCTTGGAGGCTCCCACAGAAGGCAGAAGCAAGACGGTGAAGCGAGACATCGGGAAGCACTGGCTTGTTTTCATAGATGCTACTCCTGGGTAAGGCACCTTAGAAAGCAGGAGCACGGTTCACCTTCTGGAGCTGGAGGCAGGGATGTCACTGCTTTCTGGTTACACAGAGAAGGGGCCTGTCATTGTTCCCCAACACCCCCACTTCAGCTTTTGGTGACAGAAGGGGCCCTAGGCCAGGTAGTCCCTCCCCCAGGTGCTACAGCTCTCCATGGGGTAGCTAGCAAGGCCAAGGGTGGAGGGTCTGGGAAGACATCCAGAGCTTGCTGTATCCAGGGGCTCAGAAGGAAGCCCTGGGGCAGAATCCTGTCTGACTTTTGGAGGTCGCAGGGTGTGAGGGTCCCTACTCTACAGTAAGCTGATTCCTGGGCTGAGTGAGGACAGAAAGGGCATAAGCAGGGAAGCAGATAACCCTGGGGCAGTGCAGCATGGGGCTCAGAAGGACTGGTGGTGTCCTTCCTTGTTGGTGATGACAGTGCTGGAGGCCAAGTGAGGGGGGTTGATGCAGGGACCCCCTCTCCTCCTGTGGTTTGGGTCTGTGCTCCCAACAGATTCCTACTGTAGCCCTTAACTGCCACCAGGGGGCACCACACTCTACTGTCTCCTCAGCTCCATCTAGCTTCCAGGACCATCTTTGTGCAAGGACCACCTCACTGCAAGTCACAACTAGGCCCTCAGGGCAACCAGACCCAGTGAGCAGGCCCCAGTTTTCAGGGTCCAGAGAGGCCCATGGCTGGCTCAGCAACAATGGAAGGAGCCCAGGAAGAGAGCTCCCTGGCTGGAGCTGGACACTTCACACCACTAGAGTTGGGTGAGGGCTAACAGCACCCTGGAGTGGGTTGGCCTGGTGCCCTCTGGACTATGCAGTGGGAGCCAGTGGGAGGCCGATGGGACCCAAAGGAGGCTGGAATGGGTGCCCACCTCATGCCATCCCATATCTCAGAGTCCTAGAGAGAGGGGCTTATTTCCTCCCAGACCCCCTCCTCCAGCAGCTTCCCTGAGAGCAGCGCTGCCTCCCAGCCCAGCACACATTCTCCTAAGCACAGCCCGGTCCTTCACCTCTGAGAGAAAGGCCTGGCAGCCCTGTGGGTCCAGGAGCAGTAGCAGGGCTGGGTGGGGCGGGGCAGGGGCCCCTCTGTGTTTCTTGGCCAGTGCCCAGCCCATACTTGCCCAGTCATCAGAGTCTTAGCCTCTCCCCTTGGAAGGCCACCCCAATACCACCGGAACATGTCTACATCTGGACCCACATTCCTCCTTCATGTCTGTCTGTCTGTCCCTCTCCTGTAAAAAAATTTTGAAAGGAAATTTTATCATGTTGTTTTTGGACACTTTGGCCTCAATAAATTAATTGAATTTACACTTGCTAAGCTGTCCAGAGCTCATTAGCATAGTGGGGAAACCTTATAAAAAGAGAGGGGGGAAGGTGCTCACCAATTGTTCATAAATATAATAAACTGTGTCCTTGTTTTAAATTTAAGAATAATGTTGGCACTATTTTAGGTTCCATAGACAAATCACATCTTCATGCATTTTCATTTTGCTGGCTTCTTTTGGTGCTCTGGAGACAATGTTTTTCTGCATGTCCAAGTTTCTGGAAGCCCTCAGAGGCCTGCCTGGCTTGGTGCCCATGGTTAGTCAGCCTGGAGAGCCACCTCCACCCCAGCCTGCCTCTCTAGAGCCCCATTTTCCTGTGGGCAGGGTTGGGGGTTTGCAGTTCTTGGTGATGTTCATATTCTTGCCACTTCCTGGGTTACCTCTGTGCCCAGCCTACTCCAACCTTCATTGCATTCCCAGCCACCCCAAAGGGCAGGTACTATCACTCCCATTTTATATTAGGGAAACTGAGACTCAGAGAGGTTAAATGACTTGGCCAATTTCTCATTCCCAGAATAGAATCCAGAGTGGCTGTGGGGGGAACCCAGAGACATACTCTCCATGGGACTCCCTCTCGGTGCCACCATGTGGCCAGTATCTCAGTACATGAGAGCCAAGGCTTCCAGGGGACCAGGCTTGTCAAGGCTCACTAGGGCCTACTGACCCCTGCCATCACACGAAACCAGACCTGCCTCAGAGAGCTGTCTGACTCAGCTGCACCCAGGTGTGAGAGGTTGACAGCAGGTGGGCTGTAGGAGGATTCTGAAGGTGGGCCAGATGAACAGCAGGGCAGCCTCCTGCCCAAGGAGTTGAGGCTGTAGCCTGGGATGGCTGCAAGGTGTCCACCCCAGTGACTGAAGAGACCAAAGGCTCAGGCAAGGGGCAGTAATCCGGAGGAGAGAGGGCCTTACCAGCCTTCCATCCCTGACAGTGCGGGAACCTTGGACACCTGAGAAACTGTAGACAATGCTCCCAAACTGGAGGGGACAGTGGCCACAGTGGGGCTGGGGCTGTGCTAAGTAGACAGCAGGATAGTGACTCCAGGACCACAGAAGGAAAGCTAGGGCCTACTAAGCATGGGAAGGACAAGAAGTAGTTTTCTAGAGGCTTCTTGGGACGCAGGGGGGGAACAGGGGGTGGGGGAGAAAGCAGCCTTTCCCAGGCTGGGCCTTGAGTCCTTCAGTCTACCCACGCCCTAGAGGTATGTGTACCCTCCTGTATAGCCAGGAAAGATGATGCTGGGGGGGGGGCACCCAGGAAGGCTAGGCCGACTCAAGACTAGTCAGCCCTGCCTTCCACCCCAAACTAGGGAAGCCCCTTCTGATCCAGGTCCTGCCCCTTCTCCTGGAGCCTGTGTGGGGTGGGGTGGACTCTCCCAGAGAGCAGTAAGGGAGAACAGTCTGGGGGACAGTATCAAATTGAACTGGGGGCAGTAAGGAGGGTGTGGACTAGTCCAGGAGGGCAGTGGAGTGGAGGCCACTTGGGGGCTAAGGGGTGGAGGGGACAGGTCCTCCCCCACATCAGGCTAGTGGGAGGGCGGAGCTCTGATGGGAGAAGGACTGCAGAAGTCTGCTCCCTCCCTCCCCACCATGGACTTCGCTCGCTCGTTCCCACTGGGAAGGTTCAGCTCAGGCTCAGGAGAGGGAGAGGGAGGTGGGCAAGGAGGGACCTGGCCTTGCTGGAGACCTGCTCTGCGGAAGGGGACCTCGGTCTGCTGGTCAGCCCGTCTCCTCCTCCTCCCCAACAGCCCCTGAGGCTGCTGGCACTGGCATGACCTCTAAACCCTCTGCTTCTTTTAGGGGGCCTGGCTCGGTGCAGCACGTTGTAGAGACCAGCCGTCCCTCACTCGGTATCCCTCCCTGTCCCAGTATCCCTCCTCCTCCCCCAAGCTGAGGCTTCCGGATCTCCCTAGGGGGTCCAGCCACTCTCAGCCCCTCGCTCACTCAGCCACGCCTGCCCACTTTCTCCAGCTCCCCCGCAATCCAGGGTGAGGTCAAGCTCCGTAGGCACCGGAAGTGCTAGGTCCTTGGATGCAGCTGGATGAGGGGAGATTCAGAATTGGCCTAGGCTAAAAATCTCAGGCTGAGAGGAAGCAGGAAGGCTGCTCCCTGCTGTCACGCCTAACCCACTGTCCATCGCAGCAGGAGGCGGGTGAGGTCACCTTAACCCACGGGCTGCCAATGCAGGGATGGAGCAACCTTGTAAAATGCTGACCCCGAGGCGTTGAGTCCAGGTTCCCAGAGTGCAGAATGCGCCTCACTGCTTCCCAAAGTTGGGCACTCTCCTTCATCCTGCATGGCTCGCGGCAGCCCTAAAGACTAAAGGCTAAAGTCTGTATTCTGGCTCTGGGGTGGTTGTGGGCTGGAGCAGGAAGAGCCCAGGTCAACGATTTTTTTTTTTTTTAGTGTTGGAGCAGGTCTGTCTCCAGGAAGTATCAAGTTCCCCATTAGATCCCGCAGGGCCCTAAGGGCACACATTCTTAACCCTATCCCACAGATCAACAGCTGTCACTCACACCCCAGCAGAACCAACTGGACCAGAGGTGGCTCTGGTCGCCACACTCCTACATAGCCAGCCATGGGTCACAATGTGGGAGTGCCAATCTCCATTCTGCTGGGATTGCTGAGGGGTTCCTTATTTGTAAATTGGGTATGTGGAAATATACACAGGCAATGCATTTATGTTGCTCCCAGGACCTAGAGTGCTGAGGTTTTAACAGTTTTTGTTTTGTTTTATTGGCAGCAGAGCCCCACTTCCATATGGAACTTGGGGTGGGGGGGTGTCTAGTCACTTTATGACACAAAACTTTCCAGCTGATTGGCCCCGCCCTCAGCAGCTCCCAGGCCACGAACCTTGAAAGCCAGTGAGAATGAAGATCTGAAGATCAAGGGGTTGAGGCCGGGCTGAGGCTGCCTTAGGACTACCAGCTCTTCTTCCTCCTACCCAGCCTGCCTTACAGTCCAAGGTCACGACTGCGGCCGGCCGCAACCGCCCAGCCAGGCGCTTGCTTCCTAGTAGCGAATCGCTCCTCCCCAGAAAAGGCAGCCTTGGCCTAAGGACCAGCGCCAGCCTCTTGTAACGGCCTTACTCTTAAAATCAGGCACCACAAGCAGCCTCTCCTCTTGAGAGCCCCTCCTGCTTGTGGCGGCGGTCCTCTTCCCTAGCCGGGTCCCCACTTTCAGCCTGGTGTCCACTAAATAAACGACAACGACACTTCCGCTCTCGGTTTCCCCACTAACAACCTCAGAGAAGCCTTCGTTTTATGCTCCAACCGTTTACGTTCCTCTCCCAGTCCAGGCCTTCCCTGAGGCCACTCTGTCCCGCGGAGAAGGGTGTCGTTTGCAGCCCCACAAGGGACTCCGGAGCAGACAGACGGCTAGGCATGGTCCTCCCGCAGAGCCAGTGCTGGATCTGGACCTGGGCAACAAGTCCCTGCACATACTGTGCATGGGCCCGGCGGAGTGGCAGGGCGCTTGTCCCGCAGTGCATCCTGCTTCGGGTCTCAGGAGACGCTGCACGCGTCCTACTGGCCGGGTGGAGCGCCAGGCGGCGGTCCCAGCGCGCTCCGCTTCCTCTCAGCAACGCGTTCGGCCGGGGCGCCCTTATTGGCCGCGCGCCCGGCCGCGGGTCATTGGTCGGTGGTCTCAATTTACATAGACCGCCCTGGCCCAATCGGCGCGCGGCACCTACTTAACATGCATGACGGCCACCAGTCAGCAAGCGCGGGGGCCGGGCCACCACGTGCTGTTGCTAAGCTTGGGCTTCTAAATTGTTACTACAGCTGTCGGCCTATCGGAACCGAGCTTCGCATCTGTCAACATTCTCGGCCCGGCCCAAGGCGTTCGGCCAGTCC